GCAACGCGTGGCCGGGTACTGCTAGTTCCTTAATAAAACTTTTATGACAATGTTCTCTGAAAGTGGTCTTTTTTAAATAATTTCGGTCTTAAACTCGTAAATAAACTTCTATGATTATATGAGCTCTGAAATATTTTCATAAAACTGAACTCTGATTTTTTTTTTAATTTTCCCCATAAGAACTTCTTAAGAACATATGGTCCCCTTTTGTCTCGAATTTTCTCCATAAGAACTTTTTAACTCCAAATGAGTGATTTTGAAGCAAACAAAAATTGACCATAGAATTTATTCTTAGTAAGAAGGGAGCGAACTTTGCCCCCTGAATTTTTCTATAAGAGTTTCTTGAGAAACTTCTATGATCTATGAAATATTTTCCTAAACTGAACTCAATTTTTTTTTAAATTTCTTCCATAAGAAACCTTTAAGACCATATGAGGGACTGGGAAATTTAACTGGAAACCCAACGTCACAAACACGATTCCCCCCCCCCCCAAAAAAAAAAAATCGTGTTTAAGCCGTCATCCCTACTACCCTACTGGATGTATATTTCTTATATGGATATATATCCCTACTACCCTACTGGATATATATACATCCATACCTACTGGACTACATCATACCTATATTTGAAACTTTGTATGGAGTCAGCCTCCACCACATCACATCCTAGTGCAGGAGTTGCGCCCTAGCTGCGGTGGGGTATAGACGTGTTGTCTGTGCCCTCCAGTAGTTGGTGGTTGTTCGCCGAGCGGCTGGGGGTGTAAGCGTCCCCACCCTCCCTGCAGTTGCCGCTTGGCTGGTGTTGACATCGCACGCTTGCGATGGGAGGCCTTCTTCCCCCTGTTGTGAGAGTGAATTTCATGGGCCTGGAGTTTACAGGCCGTGTTGGTTATCCTGTAGTTGAGCTTGTCATGTGTGACATGCTCCGTGTCCCGGTAGATAACGTCTACGGAGTTGAGCTGTTAACTGCTCACCGGGTTATTGTCAAATTAGTTGGGGAGGAGGTGTACCGTGAGTTCCTCCGCCGTTACGAGGGGCGTTCCTTGTCGCTGCCGGATGGTGCCGGCTCTGTGACCATTACGGACCATAGTGGTGCCCTGACATACGTGAGTGTGCATGGGGCGCCCTTGAAGTTTCCCGAGGCCCTACTCTGGCGTTACTTCCAGCAGTTTGGCACTGTCGTCAGTGTGCGAGTGAACACGCTGTCCTCGGGGAGGTATAAGGGTACGCGTACGAACATTCGTACCCTTAGGATGCGCCTGAGGTCTGACATTCCTTCTTCAGTCAGGCTTCTGGGGTACTACGTCCGGGTATACTATGCCCGGCAACCTCGTACCTGCTTTCAGTGTGGCCTGTTGGGGCATCAGGCTGCCGGGTGCTCTGGGGCAGCAGTCGCTCCTGTGAACCTGTTCCGGGTGCAGGATTTCCCGCCACTCCTTGTTGGGGTGGATTCAGTGGGCGAGGATGTGGACGTCCCGTTGGCTGCTGCGGCTCCCTCTGCATCGCCCGGTGGTCTTCCAGATGATGCAGCCCTTCCTCCTGGTGTTACAGTGCCGTCGGCTGATCTTTCTGCTCCTGTCACTGTCCCAGATGCTCCCGTGGGTCTTCCGGATGGTCTCTGCGAGTCGTCGACGTCTTCATCTTCTTCGTCTGCTGCTGCTACTGCGACTGGCCCTGCGCCCTCGCCGGCTGTGCTGAGTGCTAGAGGGGCTGCAGAGCATCCTGATGTGTGCAGTCTGGTTCCCCCTGTGGTTGAGGCTGCTGCCGTTCTGTGACGGGCGTCGGTTCGCCCGGCTTGTGAAGCCCGTGGTTCTGGGTCCACCTCTGGCTCTGAGGATGTGCAGCCGCAGCCCAAGCGTTCCCGGCGTTCTTCTACTGCTTGGGCTGATGTGGAGGATTTCGACGCCGATGGATCTTCGGGCGATGATGTGGTGGTTCTGGGTGCATCGCGCTCTACGTCGATGGTGGTTGCTGACGTCCATGTGCCTGCTGATGACAATGTTTGTGCTTATGATTTACCTCCTGTTCTTTCTTCTGCAGAAGGTTCTCCGCAATGGGGGGTGGTCGCTCCTACGGACGTGGGTGGTGAGGGTGCTGGTGCGGGCAGAGGCCTCGCGCTGGTGCTGAAGAAGGATGCCCGGCGTGGGGGGGGTCCCTGCAGGTGAAACATCCGGTGGTTGACGCAGGACCCTGTGAGGTAGCCGAGGACCCTGTGAGGTAGCCGAGGAGACTCCCAGTGCGCTGCCCATTGCCCGGCCCCGTGGGAAGAAGCCCCTCCGTCTCGTTTTGGCCTCCGACGTGGCGAATGACGATAAGAACCCCTTGCTGTTTGACATTGTTGACTGCGTGCATCCTGTTCCATGGAGCCCTTCTTCCATCTGGTTTCCGCGGGCTCGGTGTTTTGTTGTGGGTGTGCCGGAGTTGATGCCTGATCCTCGTACAGTTCATAGTAAACCTGTTCCGGATAACCTCATGTTGCTTTGGGAGGCATATGGTGTTCGATTCCCGGCAGCAGAGTGGCCGGATAAGTATGAGCATTTTGAGTAGTCTGTGTGATTGCTGTGTGTTTGGTGTGTGAATGGGACCTGTGGTTTGTTATGCTAATGTGTTATAATTATTGTGCGCCCTTCGGGCCGGTGTTATGTTTTGTTCTCATGACCTTGTTTTATTGTATTTATTGTATTTCTTAGCATGCTTTGCATGTAAATATAATAACAATAAAAAAAACTTCCTGTTGCATTCCATTTACTAACTACTCTGACACTGAAAAAATTCTTTCTAACGTCTCTTTGGCTCATCTGCGTACTAAGTCTCCACCTGTGTACTTTTGTTCGTGTTCTACCCGTGCTGAAGAGTTTGTCTTTGTCCACCCTGTCAATTCCCCTGAGAATTTTGTAGGTGGTTACCATGTCTCCCCTTACTCTTCTGTTTTCCAGGGACGTGAGGTTCAACTCCTTTAGCCTTTCCTCGTAGCTCATTCCTCTCAGTTCCGGGATGAGCCTGGTGGCATACCGCTGAATCTTCTCTGTGTGCAGGGAAGGTGGTGTTGGGGTAGTGGTTGGTTTAGCGATGGTGAGGGATTGTTGGGGAGGGGGGTGATGGTGGTGTGTGCAGGGAAGGTGGTGGTGGGATAGTGGTTGGTTTAGCGATGGTGAGGGATTGTTGGGGGGGGGGGGGGTTGGTGGTGGTGTGTGCAGGGAAGGTGGTGGTGGGGGTAGTAGTTGGTTTAGCGATGGTGAGGGATTGTGGGGGGGGGGGGTGCAGTGACGGTGGTGGTGGGGGTAGTTGGTGGTTTAGCGATGGTGAGGGATTGTTGGGGGGGGGGGTTTGATGGTGGTGGGGGTGTGCAGGGAAGGTGGTGGTGGGGTAGTGGTTGGTTTAGCGATGGTGAGGGATTGTTGGGGGGGGGGGTGATGGTGGTGTGTGCAGGGAAGGTGGTGGTGGGGGTAGTGGTTGGTTTAGCGATGGTGAGGGATTGGGGGGGGGGGGTTGGTGGTGGTGTGTTGGGAAGGTGGTGGTGGGGGTAGTGGTTGGTTTAGCGATGGTGAGGGATTGGGGGGGGGGGGGGGGTTGGACGTGGTGTTTGCAGGGAAGGCGCTGATGGGATAGTGAGGGGGGGGGGTGTTTTTGAATGATAAACGATTTACACTTGACTCACCACTGATGACGTCTGAACACTTCCGGAACAAGTGCTTCTCTGACGACATTTGTTCGAACCACAATGATGTAAATGCTTTACCTACTTACAAAAAAATACAAATAATCGCCAACAGAACCTAAACACCTAACCTAACTTTACCAGTGCCTAAATATGCAAAATTTGATTATATATATTTTAATTATTTATATTTGAGAAAACTTCTGTTTTCAATTAACAGAAGACTGATGAATGTGTCTTCGGCGTCGACCACCGGATGGAATGGACTTGGTCTGAGAATGGGTTGCTAAGGTAAGTTAAGTATAGCTCTTTAAACCTCGCCTACTTGGGCCTTGTTGTACTTGATGCATTACAGTTTAACTATTCTCACGTTCACAATCTTTGTCGAATCTTGTCTTAACATTCTTGAAGAGTGGTGGCTACTGCAACTTCTTCTTTCAGTGCATTCCACTTGTTACCTGGACATACAGGGTATGAGTATATCCTTATTTATTTTATTTATTTATTTATTTATTTATTTATTTATATACAAGAAGGTACAATGGGTTTGTGAGAATACATAGCATGGTGTTTACAATCTTTTTAAAACCACTAGTACACGCAGCGTTTCGGGCAGGTCCTTAATCTTTCTTCTACTAATTTGTGTTATCAACTTTAACCTATGTCCGCCTGTTCTTTCTCTCGTTAAAAACAAGTTGTCCCTGTTTACCTTTTACATTACCTTAAGTATCTTGTATATTATGATCAAATACCCTCAGTTTGTTATATCTTTTGTTTGTCTCATTCTGTTTCACAGTCTCCGTGGTGTAGTGGTAAGACACTCGCCTGGCGTTCCGCGAGCGCTATGTTATGGGTTCGTATCCTGGCCGGGGAGGATTTACTGGGCGCAATTCCTTAACTGTAGCCTCTGTTTAACGCAACAGTAAAATGTGTACTAGGATGAAAAAACGATTCTTCGCGGCAGGGGATCATATTCCAGGGACCTGCCCGAAACGCTATGCGTACTAGTGGCTGTACAAGAATGTAACAACTCTTTTATATATCTAAAAAAAAAAAAAAAATCCTCCCTGGTTGTAAGGCGCAGTTCTCTTAGTTCTCATAGCTGAACCTTCTTAGTAACAGATCTCTACATTCTTTCTTATTATTTTATGCTCATTTTTCTCTCTTGACTTCTCTTTATAAAAGCATGAGTAAGAACTGGGAATATTGAAGGATAGTTTCCTGGTTGACCAGTATATTTATCAGTGTGGGCGTTGAGCGCGGGTGTACTTAGTGCGTGGTGGCCAGCCAGCCAGCCAGCAGTCATGCAGGGTGTTGGTTAGTGTGTAGTGTGAGTGTGGTGGTGAGAGTCATGTCTGTCTCTCTGCTGCCTCTCCTCTGTGTCCTGGTGGGCTGGTCGGCCGCCTTCCAGGAGGCCACCATGGACCACACGGAGGAGTTGGACTTGACTGCTAACGTCATCCTCCCGGAGGCCACCATGGGCCAAAGGGGGGAGTTGGACTTGACAGCTAACGTCATCCTCCCGGAGGCCACCATGGGCCAAAGGGGGGAGTTGGACTTGACAGCTAACGTCATCCTCCCGGAGGCCACCATGGGTCACAGGGAGGAGATGGACTTGACAGCTAATGTCTTCCCCCCGAAGGCCACCATGGGTCACAGGGAGGAGATGGACTTGACAGCTGACGTCATCCTCCCGGAGGCCACCATGGGCCACAGGGAGGAGTTGGACTTGAATGCTAATGTTATCTTCCCTGAGGTCACCATGGGCCACACAGAGGAGCTGGACTTGACAACTAACGTCATCCTCCACGAGACCACCATGGGCCACACGGAGGAGTTGGACTTGACAACTGTCATCCTCCCGGAGGCCACCATGGGCCACACGGAGGAGTTGGACTTGACAACTGTCATCCTCCCGGAGGCCACCATGGACCACACGGAGGAGTTGGACTTGACAACTAACGTCATCCTCCCGGAGGTCACCATGGGCCACACGGAGGAGTTGGACTTGACAACTAACGTCATCCTCCCGGAGGCCACCATGGGCCACACGGAGGAGTTGGACTTGACAACTAACGTCATCCTCCCGGAGGCCACCATGGGCCACACGGAGGAGTTGGACTTGACAGCTAACTCCATTTTTAACCTGATTGCTATACACCAGCTGCAGGAGGAGCAGCGAGGCGTCCAGGAAGGTGAGAATAAGAACAAAGTTATGTTCACAGTTCCTTGGGAGTTTTTTTAATGAGTTAGTAAACAAAATATTTGCTGCTTATAAAAACATCAGCATAAGGCACCAGTACAGAAGATAATTTATAGGGTTGAACACATCATAGTTACACATGTAAGGATACAATCTTGATAGAGGCAACTGTTTACAGGTGTGAACAATATGCAGATGGTGATGGCTAACCTGACTGAACTGATCTCCACTCACCTGATTCTTGATGACAATTATACGCAAGGTAAGGAGTCATATGAACAAATCCACAAGGGCAGTGACGAGGATTCGAACCTGCGTCCGGGAGCATCCCAGCTCGGGTGCAGGGAAGGGGGTTGTGTAATAGCCTGGTTTGTGCCTCGGAGAGGCTACGGGATCCAGTAAGTTCAGTAGAACTTCAGTTTCAACCCTTTTACCCTGTCGTAGCTCAGTCGATTAAGGCAGTGTCTGGGATGCTCCCGGACGCAGGTTCGAATCCTCGTCACTGCCCTTGTGGATTTGTTCATTTGATGCATCACGTTAGTGTGATCTCTGTGTGTAAGGAGTTATATATACAGTACATGTGTCGATGTTTCTTTGTCTCAGTTTCGACACTTGATTCATGTCAGTTTTACTTCAATCAAGTTTTAGGCACAGAAATTAGTACAAGATAATTGTTAAAATAATATTCTCTTGTTCCTGGTGCCATTATGTCTACAATTTGTTGAAGAATCTTGGGAATGAAGTATTCAGTCTTGTCGCCTTCAGCATCAAGCACAGCCTGTCATTCACAGACGATAGTACCTATAGTCACTATGGACGGACGAGCATAGTACCTATAGTCACTATGGATGGACGAGCATAGTACTTAGTCACTATAGATGGACGAGCATAGTACTTAGTCACTATGGATGGACGAGCATAGTACCTATAGTCACTATGGATGGACGAGCATAGTACCTATAGTCACTATGGATGGACGAGCATAGTACTTAGTCACTATAGATGGACGAGCATAGTACCTATAGTCACTATGGATGGACGAGCATAGTACTTAGTCACTATAGATGGACGAGCATAGTACCTATAGTCACTATGGATGGACGAGCATAGTACTTAGAGTCACTATAGATGGACGAGCATAGTACCTATAGTCACTATGGATGGACGAGCATAGTACTTAGTCACTATAGATGGACGAGCATAGTACCTATAATCACTATGGATGGACGAGCATAGTACCTATAGTCACTATGGATGGACGAGCATAGTACTTAGGGTCACTATGGATGGACGAGCAGAGTACCTACAGTCACTATGGATGGACGAGCATAGTACTTAGGGTCACTATGGATGGACGAGCATAGTACCTATAGTCACTATAGATGGACGAGCATAGTACTTAGGGTCACTACGGATGGACGAGCATAGTACTTAGGGTCACTATGGATGGACGAGCATAGTACTTAGGGTCACTATGGATGGACGAGCATAGTACCTAGGGTCACTATGGATGGACGAGCATAGTACTTAGGGTCACTATGGATGGACGAGCATAGTACTTAGGGTCACTATAGATGGACGAGCATAGTACCTATAGTCACTATGGATGGACGAGCATAGTACTTATAGTCACTATGGATGGACGAGCATAGTACCTATAGTCACTATGGATGGACGAGCATAGTACCTATAGTCACTATGGATGGACGAGCATAGTACCTATAGTCACTATGGATGGACGAGCATAGTACCTATAGTCACTATGGATGGACGAGCATAGTACCTATAGTCACTATAGATGGACGAGCATAGTACTTATAGTCACTATAGATGGACGAGCATAGTACCTATAGTCACTATTGATGGACGAGCATAGTACTTAGGGTCACTATAGATGGACGACATAGTACCTATAGTCACTATGGATGGACGAGCATAGTACCTATAGTCACTATGGATGGACGAGCATAGTACCTATAGTCACTATGGATGGACGAGCATAGTACCTATAGTCACTATGGATGGACGAGCATAGTACCTATAGTCACTATAGATGGACGAGCATAGTACTTAGGGTCACTATAGATGGACGAGCATAGTACCTATAGTCACTATGGATGGACGAGCATAGTACCTATAGTCACTATGGATGGACGAGCATAGTACCTATAGTCACTATGGATGGACGAGCATAGTACTTAGTCACTATAGATGGACGAGCATAGTACCTATAGTCACTATGGATGGACGAGCATAGTACCTATAGTCACTATGGATGGACGAGCATAGTACTTAGTCACTATAGATGGACGAGCATAGTACCTATAGTCACTATGGATGGACGAGCATAGTACCTATAGTCACTATAGATGGACGAGCATAGTACCTATAGTCACTATGGATGGACGAGCATAGTACCTATAGTCACTATGGATGGACGAGCATAGTACCTATAGTCACTATGGATGGACGAGCATAGTACCTATAGTCACTATGGATGGACGAGCATAGTACTTAGGGTCACTATGGATGGACGAGCATAGTACCTATAGTCACTATAGATGGACGAGCATAGTACTTAGGGTCACTATAGATGGACGAGCATAGTACCTATAGTCACTATGGATGGACGAGCATAGTACCTATAGTCACTATGGATGGACGAGCATAGTACTTAGGGTCACTATGGATGGACGAGCATAGTACCTATAGTCACTATAGATGGACGAGCATAGTACTTAGGGTCACTATAGATGGACGAGCATAGTACCTATAGTCACTATGGATGGACGAGCATAGTACCTATAGTCACTATAGATGGACGAGCATAGTACTTAGGGTCACTATAGATGGACGAGCATAGTACCTATAGTCACTATGGATGGACGAGCATAGTACCTATAGTCACTATGGATGGACGAGCATAATACCTATAGTCACTATGGATGGACGAGCATAGTACTTAGTCACTATAGATGGACGAGCATAGTACCTATAATCACTATGGATGGACGAGCATAGTACCTATAGTCACTATGGATGGACGAGCATAGTACTATATGGACGAGCATCAGTCACTATAGATGGACGAGCATAGTACCTATAGTCACTATGGATGGACGAGCATAGTACTTAGTCACTATAGATGGACGAGCATAGTACCTATAATCACTATGGATGGACGAGCATAGTACTTAGGGTCACTACGGATGGACGAGCATAGTACCTATAGTCACTATGGATGGACGAGCATAGTACTTAGGATCACTACGGATGGACGAGCATAGTACTTAGTCACTATAGATGGACGAGCATAGTACTTAGGGTCACTACGGATGGACGAGCATAGTACTTAGGGTCACTACGGATGGACGAGCATAGTACTTAGGGTCACTATGGATGGACGAGCATAGTACCTATAGTCACTATGGATGGACGAGCATAGTACTTAGGGTCACTACGGATGGACGAGCATAGTACTTAGGGTCACTACGGATGGACGAGCATAGTACCTACAGTCACTATGGATGGACGAGCATAGTACTTAGGGTCACTATGGATGGACGAGCATAGTACCTATAGTCACTATAGATGGACGAGCATAGTACTTAGGGTCACTACGGATGGACGAGCATAGTACTTAGGGTCACTACGGATGGACGAGCATAGTACTTAGGGTCACTATGGATGGACGAGCATAGTACCTACAGTCACTATGGATGGACGAGCATAGTACTTAGGGTCACTACGGATGGACGAGCATAGTACTTAGGGTCACTATAGATGGACGAGCATAATACCTATAGTCACTATGGATGGACGAGCATAGTACTTAGGGTCACTATGGATGGACGAGCATAGTACCTATAGTCACTATGGATGGACGAGCATAGTACCTATAGTCACTATGGATGGACGAGCATAGTACCTATAGTCACTATGGATGGACGAGATAGTACCTATAGTCACTATGGATGGACGAGCATAGTACTTAGGGTCACTATGGATGGACGAGCATAGTACCTATAGTCACTACGGATGGACGAGCATAGTACCTATAGTCACTATAGTACTTAGATGGAGTGATAGAGTGAGAAAATAGAAGGAAGATGTAGGAAGGAGTAAAAGAGTTGATCGTGAGTTAGTGTGTAGATGAGAGGAGAAGGCAGCACGGTCCTGTTATGTTGTTTTGGGATGGGAGCTGGATGGAGTTCCCCTTCGTCTGGAAGAGAGTGCTCTGGGCCATTATGTGGTTAGACAAACCCATTGACTCCCCTACAGGAAGGTCTTAAGTGCTGTTTGTAAGAAATGCATGGAAAAGACACGGGACTGCACCTGGCTTTTTGTGTTCGGGTCAAGAAAGAGGGAAGTCACTCTCGTTGTGAGACTGCAGCGGGCCATTATGTGGTTAGACAAACCATTTACGTCCCCTACAGGAAGAGCTAAGTGTGTGTGTGTGTGTGTGTGTGAGGATGAGGGCAAAGTCTCCTGCAGGAGGGGAGTGTACCATTACCTAAAGCGTTTTTCAATGTCGCGGGGGTTTTCGTTGTCTTCAGAGTGTTATGTTCGTCCCACGGCGGGTCCCCATACACTGTGGATTCCGGTAAGGAGGCGCGAGATACTTACGACAGACCTACACCTGTCAGCCATCAATCAATCACTCCCCACCCCTCATCCCACCCGCCCCCATACCATCAACCATTGTTCCGTGCATTCTCTTTAGTATGTGTAAGCTATATCGCAACGTGATCAACATGGTGAGAGCAATAACGAAGGGGAAAAGTAAACACATTATATAAATTTATTCCGCGACGGAGTAAGCGTGCTGGTCGCAGGTTGGAGCCCGACTGATCAACTTTCCAACTAGTCCGGGTATTTCTCCCCCGACACCGGAAGTGGTGGGGCACCCATTACCATTGCGTTTCGCCAGGGTCCGCGATGGCGGGTGCCACGCCTCGCTCTGTCTCTGTCTCTGTCTCTCTCTCTGTCTATCTCGTCTCTCTGTCGTCTGTCTCTGTATGTCTGTCTCTCTCTCTGTCTCTGTCTCTCTCTCTCTCTATCCATCTCTCTGTCTCTCTGTCGGTCTGTCTCTGGCTCTGTCTCTATCTCTCTGTCTCTGTCTATGTCTCTGTCTCTGTCTCTGTCTCTCTCTCTCTCTCTCTCTCTCTCTCTCTCTCTCTCTCAACCTCTCTAAAGTCCACCACACAGCACTTCACTTAGTAAACTCAGTCAAAGTCAGTAGGTTAGCGTTTACTAAAAGAG